TCTATTCGAAGACAGAGCCCCGACTGAGTCACTCTCTGCCCGTAGACAGAGCCCTTGTCAGCCTTTGCTGGGACTGACACCGATGCATTGGGTATCTACTCAATCCCCCACTGAGATGAGTTGTGATACAAGGTCGGGATTATTGTGGTGAACCCGAGAGTTTCCACTCGGGCCACTGGTCAAAATTTACACGGCCCCTGCGAAGACGTGCTTGTATATATTACTTGACTGTTTTTCTCAGCCGGGTCTCTATACGAAGACAGAGCCCTGCCCGAAGACAGAGATCTTGTCAACCACTTCCCGAAATCAGAGATCTTCTCTGTCGCGTGCCTGGAAGTGAATTGCCTGACTCTGATGGAGAAAAAAACGCTTAAGTTTAAAAGAGGAACGTCAGGTAACTCGTTTTGTATTACTAGACGTAAAACTGTTAAAGTGGAATAATCAATATATTTTCCTTTTACAATAGCTCCATGCCTACACTGTACATTTTGTATTTACACTCCAATAATATATTAAGTCTACATTAACTTTGATCTTTGATTTTGTGTTTAATTTAGCGTTCCTCTCATGAGACCCAGTATTTAAAAAAATCAACAGTAAATAGTTCGTGTTGATGAGTTAGTAGAACTACGAACTTTCAAGCTGCATTTCGAACGTAGGTATATATATGTGTGTATATATATATATATATATATATATATATATAATATATATATATATAAAGAAGTAAACAATTAAAAATTCATGAACATATATTCCTTTTCGTTTATGAGGTATTAAATTACATCACTTAGTGTCCTTAGTTTACCTTTACTTATATAGCAAGTAAAAGAATATTTTAGCACAAACAATGGCACAATCGGGAAAGACTGGAATATATTTTTACTGGAACTACTGTGTATATATATATATATATATACACACACACACACACACATATATATATATATATATATATATATATATATATATATATATATATATATATATATATATATATATATATATATATACCTGTGTAGTATATAGTATATATACTCTCATGAGACCCAGTATTTAAAAAAACAACAGTAAATAGTTCGTGTTGATGAGTTAGTAGCTGCAGTGAACAGGTATATATATATATATATATATATATATATATATATATATATATATATATATATATATATATATATGTATATATATATATATATATATATATGTATATATATATATATATATATATATATATATATATATATATATATATATATATATATATATAGTATATATATATATATATATATATATATATATATATATATATATATAAACCCTGCATGCAGGAATGCTGCACTTATTAAAAGAGAAAATAATTTCCTTACACGGGAATTTCTTGAGAGTGCAGCGACTGCTTTTTACAAAAATGTTAACTTAGCCCTGGATTCTTTCAAATATCTCCCTTCTTGAAAGAAATATAGAGGGGGGGGCAAAACTTGCATAATTTTGGTATTGAAATAAAATGCCTTAGAGTTGATCAATTAGTTTTTTTTCAAGAAACACGAATGGTTCCAACATACAAATAAAAAACGAAAGAAACATTTCATTTGATATTGTCCTTCTTGTTTCTCAATTATCTGCCTCCAACCCCCCCCCTCCGAAACTTCTACAAAATTCCAGAGAACATTTTGCCCCACTCTTCTCCCATAAGAAAGTTAACTTTTGGATGAGAGGTTCTATTCGTAGCATGTTCTAAAACACTCCAAACACCATAATCTAGAGGGTTGAGATCTGGGTTGGAAAAGGGCCAGAAGTGTGATAGCCAAAAATTGGCAAAATTGGATTTGCAGAAATTCTGTACTTTTTTGGATGTATGAGCAGGAGCACCATTCTGAGTCCATTTGTAGTTTCCCTCTGGATAGTTGGTTTTGAGCCATGGTAACACATTGTATCTCAGAATCTTGTAATAGGCATCAGCATTAACTTTTTCACCAGGTTTGTAAAATTTGATAGACATTTTCCCATCGGAGGCCAAAACCCCAAAGACCATGACTTAAGCTGGATGCCCTTGGCATGAGCTTTTGAATATGCAATGTATCTGCCATTTCTCTGATTCAGAACAGCGTCAACAGTAAAGATCTTTTCGTCTGAGAAAATTCTCACAGTAGACTTTTAAGATAAGTAAGAACTTTTTTGCATCTTTCTAATCTTCTGGTCTTCATGGGTCGTGCCAACAAATGTCTTGGTGCTCATGTGTAAGATTTTTATTTTACGACATCTTTTACTGCTGTTCTTATGGTCTTAGCATCCACCTTAAGTTCAGTCGCTAATTTTCTCATATATTTCGTTAGGTCTTTTGAGATTTTGGATTTGAGAGTGTTGATGAAATCATTATTGCGCCTTTAGTTGATTCCGCCACTTCCATGTTTTCTCTGAATAGTTTCTCTCATAGACATTCTCTTCTTCACATTAAATCTGTCCGTAGGGATACTCCAACTATGCTGGAAATCTGTGGATGAGCATGTACGTGTATCATATCACACACCCTTTGACGTTTGCTTTCCTCAATACTCATCTTTTGCACAATTATCTGCAAAAAATGTGGCTAATTATTATGCAAGGTTATGATAATAAAATGCACCAGGTTTCATGAAATTACTTGAACTGCATCATGAGAAAAACAAGCAAAACTTTTAGCGCAAATTTTGCCTCCCCTACCCAGTATCCCTTTCCCAAACAAGCATGCACGAAAAATAAATATTTTTAAAAAATTAAAAGAAAACGTTTAACTCAAATCCTTCTTTTTTTAAAAAATAAATTCATACATAATATATCAAATTAAATGAAATAATGAATAATAATTACATCATTCTTATATATATATGTATATATATATATATATATATATATATATATATATATATATATATATATATATATATTTTTTTTTGAATTTGGAGGTCTGATGAATTGGATCGTATTTACGATTCCAATGGAATAAATTATGACCATGGAATATTAGTTTTTAAGCCTTTTTTTATTATATCCTTACTCTGTCCTAGACATTGAGTTCTACCTGGATTTTCCTCTTGAATTTTTTTTTTTTTTCTAAAAATATACATGTATGGGTATTTATATATTTTGCATATGTATGTATATTTTCCACTAATATTATCTATCTATCTATCTATCTATCTATCTATCTATATATATATATATATATATATATATATGTGTGTGTGTGTGTGTGTGTGTGTGTGTGTGTTGTGTATGTGTGTGTGTATATATAAAGAAGTAAACAATTAAAAATTCATGAACATATATTCATTTTCGTTTATGAGGTATTAAATTACATCACTTAGTGTCCTTAATTTACCTTTACTTATATAGCGAGTAAAAGAATATTTTAGCACAAACAATGGCACAATCGGGAAAGACTGGAATATATTTTTACTGGGACAATATTTTTGCTGGACAGAAAGATCATTCGCAGAGACTCAGGCATTGGTATGCATCTGAGACATATGGTGGCAGGGAAATGGTCAGGTGTTCATCTGCGCGGATATCCTACCACTACAACTGGTCATGGGATAGATGATGATAATGTCACACATACGTCATTTGGATGATTCCGTTTCTATAGACGGAGGATAAAGAAATCATTCGATGTATTATGGTCTGTAATTTTTTGGCACTTCAGTTACCATAATAGAGGAGAAAATGCTGAATGAATGAAGAGGTACTGGAGCGAGGAGATCATTGCACATGTCTGTCTGTGTTTTTTATTGGTAAGAATACACCCATACATGCATTCATATATATATATATATATATATATATATATATATATATATATATATATATATATATATATATATATATATATATATACATATATATATATATATATATATATATATATATATATATATATATATATATATATATATATATATATATATATATATATATATATATATATATATATATATATATATATATATATATATATATATATATATATATATATATATATATATATATATATATATATATATGTTTGCTGGTGTACGTGTAAGAGGTTCTGCCTACGTGTGTTTTTTCTTCATGTGCTTACGTCTTTTTCTGGCATTTGGAGGGGGGTGTAGAAATATGACCCCCCCCACACACACACACACACACCACCACCACCACTACAAACACCACTACCACCCTTAACACCAACACCAAAAATGGCTTCTTGAGTGCATAGGATAGGGAAGAGTGAAGGATCTCAGAGAGAAATTTATCAGGTTAGTAGCAAAAAAAAAAAAAAAAAAGAAAGAATGAGTGGAAGTGAAAGAAAGAAAGAAAGAAAATAGAAAGAAAGAAAAGAAAGGTAAGAAAAGAACTTCCACAAACGAAATGGATGACAAAAAGAAGAAGTGTTAATTCGAAAATAAAAAGATGACAAACAATGAAAAAGAAAACTTGTTGATTACAAAAGAAAAAAAAAAGAAAAATGACATGTGGTGACTAAAAAGTAAGAAGTGAATGAAAGAAAGAAGAAAAATAGCTTTGATAAGAAAAATAGGAAGAAAGTCATGCGTTGGTTACAAAAAATAATTAATGAATGAACGAATAAGTCAATTTTGACAAAAAAGGGGCCAGCAATAAATGAAAGAAGGATTGAAGAAAAAGACAAATATAAGGATAAATGAATAAAATCATGGTGAGTGGAAAACACGCAAGCTAGAAAGAAAGAAAGAAAGAAAGAAAGAAAGAAAAGAAAGAAAGAAAGAAAGAAAGATTACAAGGAAATGAACATGAATGAATTAATGAATGAAAGGATTTCGGAAAGAAAAAAGAAAATGTCTACATAAGAAAGAAAGAAAGAAAGAAAGAAAGAAAGAAAGAAAGAAAGAAAGAAAGAAAGATAGAAAGAAATAAAGAAAGGATTGAAAATAAATAAAATGGAACCATGACAAAAAGGATCAGGAAAGGAAGAAAAAAGAAAGAAGGAAAGAAAGAAAAATGGATTACCAAGAAATGAACATAAATGAATTAATGAATGAAGAGATTTTGAAAAGAAAGAAAGAAAATTGTGTACATAAGAAAGAAAGAAAGAAAGAAAGAAAGAATATGAGGAGACGAGAAAAAAGTTGTGAATGAATGAAAGAAGAAAAGCAGGAAGCAGAAAGAAAGAAAGAAAGAAAGAAAGAAAGAAAGAAAGAAAGAAAGAATAGATTTTGACACAGTGAAATCAAGCAAAAAAGAAACAAAAATATGTTGATTATAAAGAAAGGAACAGGAATTAAAGAAAGAAAGAAAGAAAGAAAGAAAGAAAGAAAGAAAGAATAGATTTTGACACAGAGTGAAATCAAGCAAGAAAGAAACAAAAATATGTTGATTATAAAGAAAGGAACAGGAATTAAGATGGAAAGAAAGAAAGAAAGAATTGAAAATAAATGAAATGGCAATATGACAAAAAGAAAGAAAAAAGAAAGAAAGTATGAATACGCAAAGAAAAGATAATAAATTGAACGAGAGACGTGGATTTGTAGCTGATAAAATGATATTGGTTTCAAGAGGGTGAGAAGGTGGTGTATGAAGGTTTCAGCGGGGGTGGGAAAGGCTGATGTGGGTAAAAAAAGAAGAGAAGCATGGTTTTCGTTTAGAATCGACACAACCGATATTATGAGATCCTGGTAAATATAGAACTCCCTGGTAGAGGTAGCAAGATGAAGGGCACTTCCTTTTGACATTCCAATGACGGCGGGAGGGGAAATAGTCTACAAGGTAAGTAAAAAAATAGCCTAAGTAAATAAATAAAAAGAAAAATCAAAAAGGAAAGAAATGAAAAAAAAAAGAATGAAGTATAACGAAAGAGAGAAGAGAAAAACGTAGAAGGAAATGGGGCAATTAAAACGAAAAGTGGGCAAGTTGTGAAAGAATGTGTGTTTCTAAAACTAGGGAAGAATGAATTTTATGAAAGAGAAAAAAGGCTTAGAAGAGATAAAATGAGTAAGGAAAAAATACCGGAATGAAAATAGAGAGAAAAAATAAAGAAAGAAAAAGAAAAACAACAGATGAAAGAAATAAATTAGGAGGAAAGAAAAAAATAAAAAAAGAAAGAGAAGTTAATGATGAGAAGAAAGAAAGAAAGAAGAAAGAAAGAAAGAAAGAAAGAAAGAAAGAATGATAAATGTTCTGAAAATCGTTGAAAAGAAACATGCAAATAAAAGAAATTATTAAGAAAAACTAAGAAAGAAGGCGTAAAAAAAAGTGGAAAGAAACAAAGGTAAGAATGAGTCTTGAAAAGAAAAGAGAAAGAATTAAACAATGTCAGCAATTTTAAAAAGAGAAAAGTCATAAATAGAGTGAAAAAGAAAGAAGAAAATAAATAAAACTTTAAAATAGGAAAAGAAAGAAAGAAAGAAAGAAAGAAATAAAGAAAGAAAGAAAGAAAGAAAGAAAGAAAGGGAACACAAAAGACGAAAAAAGAAAGTAAGAAGGGAACAAAGAGATAGACCGGGGAGAAATATGAAAACGTAATGTAGAAGAAAGAAAGAAACAAAAATAAATACAAAGAAAACTTAATTTGAAAGAAAAATGTTTGCATAAAAGGAAGGAAAATGCATTAGTTACAAAGAAAGAAAAAAAGGAAAAGTATTTAAAGAATAAAAGCAAATAGAAAGAAAGATATACTGTTTACAAAAAAAGGAAAATGAATGAATGAATAAAAGGTATTTTATGAAAGAGAGAAAGAAAGAAAGAAATAAAGAAAGAGAGAAAGAAAGAAAAAGAGAGAGAGAAAGAAAGAGAGAGAGAGAGAAAGAAAGAGAGGACGAAAAAAGAATTTAAAAAACGAACAAGATGGAAAGTGAAAATCAAGAATGAAACGTAAAAAGAAGAAAAAATAAAGAAAGAAAGAAAGAGAGAAAGAAAGAAAGAGAGAAAGAAAGAAAGAGAGAAAGAAAGAAAGAAGAAGCCAAAAAGTCAGCAAGTAAGTAATTTAGAAAAATGGATGTTAAAAATGGAGTGAAAAGGAGAAAAGTTAAGAACTCTGAAAATAAGAAAAAACAAGCAAAAAGAAACAAGCAAAAATAAAAAAAAAGAAGGTAAAATGTAGGAAGGAAAGAAAGAGAAGAGAAATCAAATCTAATGGAACAATTATAAAAGATAAAGAAATTTAAAAGAAAGATATAAAGAAACCTGTTAATTTGAAAGAAAAAGATTGCAAAGAAGAAAAAAATAAAAGAAAGGACTATATATTAATCAGAAAGAAAGAATGAACGAAGGAGTTTTTGAACGAAAAAGGGAGGAAATGTATGTCTGAATAAATGGTATTTTGAAAGAAAAAAACCCCGAAAGGATGAACGAATGACAGTTGTTTCGATAACAAAAGCAAGAAAATGAATGAATGGATAAAAAGTATCTTGACAAAAAGAAACAAAAAAAGGAATGTAACATATACATTTTCCTTCCTTCTCTGCAAACATTTTTCTTTAAAAAACGAATGAAATTTTTGATTTAAAAAAGAAGAAAATTAATGAATAAAAGGCCTTTTGAAAAAAAAGAAAGAATGAATGACTTTTTATTAAAAAAGGAAGAAAACAATGAATAAATGAATGAACGAAGGCCTTTGGAAGAATAACTGAATGAACAAATGACACATTTTGATTAAAAAAGAAGAAAATGAATGAATGCATGAAAGGCCTTTTGAAAGAAAGAAGAAAGTACTCATTTTAATTTTTAAAAAGGAAGAAAATGAATGAATGAATGAATGAATGAATGAAAGCCATTTTGAAAGAAAGAAAGAAGGAATGACTGAATGAAAAAATGAGAATTATTTTGATTAAAAATGGAAGAAAATGAATGAATGAATAAGACGCATTCGGAAAGAAAGAAAGAAAGAAAGAAAGAAAGAAAGAAAGAAAGAACTAACTACTATTAATGTGACTTCTATCCACACTGAATACCCTATACATATGGCCTTGAGCCTGACTATGCTATACGTAAATGTGAAAGAAAAAAGTTAGGAAGTGGGAAAAGTCTTTAAAAGGTTGAAAAATAAAGGCGACAGATGACAAAAAGAAAGAATGAAAACGCCAAAGATAAAAAAAATGCGTTTTTCATAGTAATAAAAAAAAAATGAAAGATGAAAAAAAAGAAGATGGATGTGGAGGGGGTGGTCTTATTTTACCAAGGCTCGAGGTCTGGGTATGTGAAAGGAACCAAAGCGGGAGAAAGGCGCAAAAGGATTTTAGGCAATTGGTACCCCGTCTACACCCTGAGACCCTGGTAGGGAAAGGCGAGTTTAAAGGGGGGTGGAAATAGTCATGAAAGAGGATAGAGCCTCGCTAAATGGCTTCCCCTTTGCCCGGTATCCCCACGACCCCACCCGTCAATGTTCTTATTTCCTGTTTCTCGGGTTCTGAACGCCGGCAACGCCTTTTCCATCTCAGGCTAACACGAAACTAACTATTTCTTCTTGCTCATTGCTCTTCCACCCCAACCCATTATATATATATATATATATATATATATATATATTTATAATTGTATACTTCGGCAGCAAACCCTCTTTTATGCAGGCTTTATTAAAAACAATAGACAAGATCCTTCGATTAAGTTTTTATTCAATTTTTCTTGCATTCGTGCAAGTGTTTTCTTTTCTAGGCATAAAGTGTTTAAAAACTGCCCCAATATTCTATATATCCGAGCGCTTTCAGTTACTTTGTTAGCCATTATTAGGGATGTTTTATTTTTGTTTTTGTTTTTTTTTAACTGAATATATAGAAAAGTGAATAAAAAGCTAAATCGCAGTACGTTGCCTGTCGTCTTTAAGGATATATATATATATATATATATATATATATATATACAAGTTTCATTAAAAACGACAGACTAGGTACTACGGCTAAGCTTTTTATTTAATTTATCTTGTGTTCTGACAAGAGCTTTCTTTTCTGGACAAAGGGTATGTAAGAACTGTCCGAATGTTTTATATTTCCGAGCGTTTTTGGCTATACCTTTAGCCATTATCAAAGATGATACGATTTTTCAGTTTAATTGAGTGTGTGCGTTCTGTATATGTCTTAGTGTATGGTAAGCATGTGGTTGTGTAACCGATGTAATTATTTAAGTCAAAATTACAAAGAACGAACATTATCTATGAGTTCAAATGTCCCTTAAGGAACTGTGTTCCTGATCAAACCGGACTCATAAATAATTACATCGATTACACAACCACATGCTTCTCCAGACGTCTCACGTTGACACCTATCTGATCACAGCTCCATTAGAACCCATTTAAACACACACACAATTTTACCCGATTCCATTAGAAACATACTAGTAGAAAACACAAATATATTAACTGCATCCACCTGCAAAAAAAAAGATTAAAAATAATGGAAGCTTTAATAATAAAAAAGAAAAAGCCAACTCTTAACAATATTAACTACGAACAAAGCCACAATGTGCTAACCGTATTCGGAAATTAAAAACATCCCTACCACACACTAAGACATACACAGAACGCACACACTCAAGTAAGCTGAAAAATCGAATCATCCTCGATAATGGCTAAAGGTATAGCCGAAAGCGCTCGGAAATATAAAACATTTGGACAGTTCTTTCCCACCCTTTGTCCAATAAAAGAAAGCTCTTGTTCGAACACAAGAAAAATTGAATAAAAAGCTTAACCGTAGTACCTTGTCTGTCGTTTTTAATGAAACATGCATAAAGGAAGGATTGCTGCCTAAATATACAACTATATATATATATATATATATATATATATATATATATAAAGAGAGAGAGAGAAAGGGTCGACAAAGACGGCATTTCCAGATTACTTTAGATATACACATATACATACACACACATATATATATATATATATATATATATATATATATATATATATATATATATATATATATATATATATATCGTACATATATTGCTGGTATTAATAAATCAGTGCTCGATGTAATACAACAGAGATATTAAGTATATATTAAGGGATAATGTGTATATTTATTAATATGCTAGTTTAAATGGTATCGAGTGGCATTTTATTAGCTACTGGGGTTGGCTCTTTATTTGGCCTTCTGTTTGTTCAGGAGTTTGAGAGTCCCTAAGTCTTTGCATATTCTCAGTATTGCAAGCTCTCCTGGCTACCGTTTGATCTGAGTTTTCATTTTCACGGGAATTTCTTTTCCTCGCTGCAGCCTTGGCTCTTTTGATTAGAATCTGCTCCTCTGATGGCAAAGATTTCTTTTTACGAGGCATACTACTGCCAAATACGATATACAAAAATCAACTACAGAACTCAAAATTGATTGCTGGATTTAATCATTGCATTAATATTTAAGCTTATCTTTTAAAAGTTCAACGATAATTCATTTGCCGCCACTTAATTTAAAGACAGTTTGATATGCATAGGTCCTTACTTTCTATACAAACAATTATGTTTTTATTTCAGGGATGACTTTTACTGGATTTCGCAATTAATTTCAATTATTCCCAAATTTATTTCCAAGTTATAAAAAATTATTATCGTAGAAAGATTCGTTGCAAAAAAATCACGTTAAAAGTTGCCGAAAACAATCGCAGTAGTGAAACCTAGGGAATCCAATATTTCTGTAACATGAGCTATTGAAAGTTAAAGAGTTGTGTCCCTTTAATCAAAAAATTGTGACACAGTGAAACATTGACATTGGTTTTTATTATATAGATATTTATTACTTTTCGAATATGATGTCGCCTACCAGGATTGAATTTGTGGTTAAACTATACTAATTTCATCATTGGTCTATTGTTTTTTCTTCAAGTACATTTGACAGCCGCAGTCATTAGCAAGAACCATCTGCTGCCTGTGTAATGGGTTTTGTTGGCTACATCCTGGTACTTTCTAGAAACCTTGAAACTAGATACTGCCAGGGATATGCTAAAATGATTATGAAAAGATGAACGATGCCCAAAATCCAATAAAAATTTGGTTTATCGCTAAAATCTTTGTTATTAAGAGGAAAGATTATTTTGTGATTATTAAATCAATAGATTTTTAATCCATGTCAGAATCTTCGAAATTTCGGTTAAAAATCTTGCGTCAACGAGTGACCATAAATTAGCATGGGAAATGTTAGCGTCTTTTCGGAAATCCTTGAAAAATCAGGTAACTACCGGATTTTAAAGAAACTTTTAGGACTTATTCACAAATAAATTCTTTTTTCTTATTAGAAAAACTCTTGTTATACATACATATATATATATATATATATATATATATATATGTGTGTGTGTGTGTGTGTGTGTGTGTGTGTGTGTGTGTGTGTGTGTGTGTGTGTGTGTGTGTGTTAACACATTTAATTTTATGAAATTTCGAGATTTTTTCTGTTATAGAGCCTAATCATTATATTAGTTATAAGAACAAGTCCTCGGAGAATTTAAAATATTTTTTTATTTTTTTTTTTGTCAAACGGGAAGCCCACTTATAGAAAATCTGCTCTGAATCATAAAATATGAAATGCAATAAAACTAGGATATTATCTAATTAGGAAAGCTTTTAATTGCTTTTACGAATAATACACATTATAGACACTATTGTCT